GCTCAGACAGACCTGCAGCGTTTTTCATAAATTTGGCATTTACTAATGACCACATGATCTAACTGTGGGATCTACTTCACTTCTGGAAACAACACAACTTAGTTCTAGGGCTTTCATGCACATGAAATGTAAAACAGCTTAGTTGTTCTGAAACATAATAATGGTTAATTTTATTCTTCAAGTCCCAACACTGAGTTCAGAGCACTTCTCCATAAGCCCCATTAATCTCTCCAGGTTTCTGGGAACATCATTAAATCCCTCAGCATCCTTAAGAAGCAGGTGCTTAGCAAACATCCAGTTTCCAAATGAGAGTCAGAGGGGCTTGATCCTGAAAATGTAGTATTTTCCTGCCTTGTCCTACTTGCATAGCTTCTTGGACCTAAAATCTCTCTCCTGCTGAGGCCTCATGCAGCTGCACACTCAAGTACTTCCAAAAAGGAAGAAAGGTCAGAGGTATCATTATCCCCAAGCACTTGGAATTCCAGCTGTGGAGAAATTAATCTGGTTGGGGGTTCAGGCTGAGAAGCCCTGAATAAGATCTGTAAAGGCAGAGGGAAACACAAAAGAAAGAAGTATTGAGGCTCTTAAGAGACAGGAGGTCCCAGATATTTGCAGATTTTAAAGTGACGATTGGGTGCAGATTTTAAAGACTGACAAATATGTCAAAGGATGATTGGGAGAGAAAAATATCCATTTCCCCACCGACACCCCAGGGACAAAAACAAAAAGAGTGTCCAAGGGATTCCTCCAAATGGCATCTTTTCTTCATAAAAGATAGTAAGAAAGCCCATGTAGGAAAGAAGCTTACGGGTTAGAAGTAGTGCTGGAAAAATCTAAGAGTTTTGTTTTTGTTTTCCAGCACAAGGAGATAAAGCAAAGGAGAAAATGGTATGTACCTCAACAGAATCTTAAATCTTACATCTTTTTTTCTTTTATTTTTTATTTTTATTTTTTTAATAGAGACAGGGTTTCACCATGTTGGCCAGGATGGTCTTGATCTCTTGACCTCGTGATCCGCCCGCCTCGGCCTCCCAAAGTGCTGGGATTACAGGTGTGAGCCACTGCGCCCGGCGAATCTTAGATCTTTTTTTTTTTTTTTTTTTGAGACGGAGTTTCACTCTTGTTACCCAGGCTGGAGTGCAATGGCGCGATCTCGGCTCACTGCAACCTCCGCCTCCTGGGTTCAGGCAATTCTCCTGCCTCAGCCTCCTGAGTAGCTGGGATTACAGGCACGTGCCACCATGCCCAGCTAATTTTTTGTATTTTTAGTAGAGACGGGGTTTCACCATGTTGACCAGGATGGTCTCGATCTCTCGACCTCGTGATCCACCCGCCTCGGCCTCCCAAAGTGCTGGGATTACAGGCTTGAGCCACCGCGCCCGGCGAATCTTAGATCTTATATGAAGTAAACCACCAGAAGAATTCAGAGTCCTGTGATTAACTCAAGAAATGGTTTCCACTTTGAATCCAGCGCTGAGGGCCCAGCAGTTCTAGACTTCAGGCCACCTCCAGCACAAGGGAAATCTTTACAGCCACTACATACGCTGAACAGTTCCAAAGACAGAAACCAGAAAAATGGGGACTGGGCAAGCCAAGAAGGAAGAGATCCTGCTTGCAGAAAGATAAGATAGACCTATGAAAAAAAATGTGCAGGTAGCCCTTTAGGAGAGGAATCCTTCCCTGGAGGGGGAGGAGAATTCAGGAGGTGTGACTCTAGGAAGTGTGCTGGGGCCGGGAGGGGGGAAGGCCGCAGAAGAGAAAAAGTACCATGCTGAGCAAAGATAGGCAGTCGGCACTCGCCAGAGGAAGGAAGAGGAAATGGGTGCACTGACCAGACTGGCGAGCACCTCAAGAGGAATGTGGCTCCAAAAAGGGAAGGAAACAGGAATGAAAATGTCTTGGATGACAGAAAAGCTAAAATGGGCAAGAAGGCATGCTCAAAACCACGGATCATCCACCACCTAGAAATGAGGACTCAGGCAAAAGGTGTCGTCCCCCTCCCCCAAATTTAAGAACCATCTGGAAAGTGGCTGCACCCTGAGAGTTGTATAACTAAAAGGGATTCATCTCGTACATTTGGGGAGCACAAGAAACAAATATACTCCAAGATATGAAAATGAGTCTCCCTCAGCAAACAAGGTAGTTTGATTTGGAGAACACATGAAAAGTGTGTAACCCCTAGAATATAGTCTCGGGAAAAGGCAGTGAATTACCTTATTTGTGAAACTGTAAATAAGTACCCACAAACTTAAGAATTTAGACATCCTTTTCAACACAACCTCAGATTTGAAGGGCTGAGGAAAGGAAGCGGCCCCTAAATTTTAGAAATTCCAGAAGGCATGCTCTCAGATTTGGGACCTGGAAAAGAGGGATTCTTCCTTGGACTAGTGGGGATACAAGAAAGTATCCCAAAACTTTGGCTAATGGACCCCAGATATGAGGACCCGATAACAGGGTGAATCTCTAAATTGAAACGGAAATGCAGAATCCAATTGGAGGCCCGAAAAAAACGAGTGTGCTCCCAGTTTGGGGGCTGAAGAGGATGCATAGAAACTGAGATAAAAATACCAGGGCTGCCACTTAAGAAAGGGGGTGTGCCGCCCAGTTTTCAGAACTATAGAGAAAAGGGACACTCCCATATTTGGGGTCTTGAGAAAGGAATGTGCTCCCCAGAATAGGATAAAAAAGCCAATTTTTAAAAACGTATTCCCAAAGCACAAGGCAACAGCAGAGGTTGCTGATGAAGCTCTAGGGGTCCACACAGCTCAGGCTCGGGCCCTAGCGCTTACCCGCACCCCCAACACGGCCCGCTCCGCGCCCCGGGCCCGCACCCCACGGCCCAGCCCCCTCGGGCGGCGCTGATTGGCCGCAGCCGCCGTCACTCTTGCGCGTAGCCCCGGGGATTGGGCACCGCTCGCACGCCCGCCACGCTCTCAGCAGCAGTCCCAGGGCCTCCCTCCAGGCTGGGCGAGCGGGGCCAGGCGGCGAGCGGGGCCGGGCGAGGGACCGGAGCAGCGGTGGCGTCCGTCACCGTCCCCGCCCGCACGGCGCGCGCGCGGCGCGGGCCCGGCCCAACCCGGCCCCAGCCGGCCGGCTTCGCCTCGCCGAGCCTCGCCGCGAGCTCACCTCACGGCCCCACTCCGGCTGCGCCGCTCCAGGACCAACCGACAGAAGGACTCTGCGTGCTGCGCACCACGTGATGCCTGGGACGCGCCCAGCGTATCCCCCGCCCCCCACACACACGCACCACCGCCACCGCCGAGTGACGTAACGTCCCAGCTGCCCCGCCCACGGCCCCGCCCGCCCGATCGCCGTGGCAACTGCCTGCTCAGGCCACGCCCACTGCCCTGACGCGCGGGAAACAGGCCCGCGCCCCGTCAGGAACACGAAGTCCCCACTCACTCATAACCACTGAGATCACGGAAGCCGGGGACTGGACGCTATCCATCACCTGTTAATTTTGTCACCTAAATGCGTTTCAAAGCTTCCCACTTTTCTCCATCCCACTGTGACCACCTCCATCGAGGTGACTACCATCTCACTCCATGATGGTGGTGGTCTCTACCCTACTACTCTTCGCCGTCGTAATCCATTCTTCACACCGGCGGTGAGATCTTTTCAAAAAAACATTTCCTGCTCAAAGCCTGTTTCTCTCCCGATTCCGGATTAAGATCTAAATCTTCAACTAGGCTATCTACAAGGCTCTTCAAAATCTGGACCTGGCCTGCCGCTTTCTCATCCTCACACACCAGCTCCCTCACATTCTCAGCGTCCTTCAACTCTGCAACCAATCCAGTTTCCTCTCACCTCAGAGCCTTTACGCTCTTTTCTCCTCCACTTTGTCATTAACTCCTAGAAAGGTTTCCAATTGCTACTAAGGATAAGAAGCTATATTTTGTTAGGGAACGAAGGTCGGAGTTGAAGCCACCCCTAAAGAATATGAAGCCAGTTTTTTCTACAACTAGAAATGTCATAATAGAAAGAAAAAAAAAAGAAAGAATATGAAGCCAGGAGCAATAGCTCAAGCCTGTAATCCCAACGCTTTGAGAGGCTGAGACAGGTGGATGACTTGAGCTCAGGAGTTCCAGACCAGTCTGGGCAACATAGGTAGACCGCCATCTCTACAAGAAATACAAAAATTAGCCAGGCATGATCGTGCACACCTGTGGTCCCAGGTCAACCTTCTGAGTAGCTGGGACTGTAGGCCCACGTCACCATGCCTGGCTAATTTTTTTTTTTTTTTTTTTTTTTTTTTTGAGATAAGGTCTCACTCACTGTGTCACTGAGGCTGGAGTGCAGTGGTGCAGTCTCAGCTTCATCGTAACTTCCACCTCCTAGACCCAAGCAATTCTCCCACCTCAGTCTCCCAGATAGCTGGGACCAAGGTGTGCACTACCAAATCTGTCTAATTTTTGCATTTTTTTGTAGAGACATGGTTTTACTGTTTTGTTCAGGCTGGTCTCAAACTCCTTGGCTCAAGTGATCCTCCCACCTCAGCCACCAGAAATGCTAAAATTACAGGCCTGAGCCAGCAAATCCAGCCTGAGGGGTGCTTTTTAAACAAGGGCTAGAGACTAAGGAGGATATTGCCTCAGTTGAGGTAGTCAGGGCAAAGAGCAGCCCTTAGGTAGAGGTACTGTGGAAGGTACTGGGGAACCAGGGACAAAAGCTTCAGCTGCACTTGCTTCAGTAGTACACGTATTGCATTAAAATTGTAACACGACTAGGATGATGGCTGACACCTATAATCCCAGCACTTTGGGAGGCCAAAACAAGCAGGTTACCTGATGTTAGGAGTTCAAACCAGCCTGGCCAACATGGTGAAACCCCATCTCTAATAAAAATACAAAAACTAGCCAGTCATGGTAGCACATGCCTATAGTCCCAGCTACTTGAGAGGCTGAGGCAGGAGAATGACTTGAACCCAAGAGGCAGAGCTTGCAGTGAGCTGAGATCGCACCACTGTACTCCAGCCTGTGCAACAGAGCAAGATTCCATCTCAAAAAATAATAATGATGAAATAAAATAGTAACAATACAGAAAAGATTTGCATGACCCTTGCACAAGGACAAGCATGCGAATTCATGATGCATTCCATACTTTTTTAAAAATCAGCAATGTGAGGATCAGCGCCACTAAGTCAAGTAAGTACTCACATACAGGAAGAAAGGGCCTTTGCAAGATCCTCTGGGTTTATGTCTATTAATATGAAATTGTTTAGATGTTAGTGGCTATGGTAGAAAACAATGAATTTTTTGCCCCTCCCAACCACAATAATGTCAAGAATTCCAGACTGTGTAGCCCCATAAAAATATAGCATGTTTCTTCACTTATTCAACCTGCATGTACTGAGAGTCAAATTCAAGATGGGCACCAGGCCGGGCGCGGTGGCTCACGCCTGTAATCCCAGAACTTTGGGAGGCTAAGGCGGGCGGATCACGAGGTCAAGAGATCGAGACCATCCTGGCCAACATGGTGAAACCCCGTCTGTACTAAAAATACAAAAAAATAGCCTGGCATGGTGGCACGTGGCTGTGGTCCCAGCTACTCGGGAGGCTGGGGTGGAAGAATCCTTGAACCCAGGAGGCGGAGGTTGCAGTGAGCCGAGATTGCGCCACTGTGCTCCAGCCTGGCGACAGAGCAAGACTCTGTCTCAAAAAAAGAAAAAGAAAAAGATGGGCACCAAACACTCGGAGCACAATGAGACAGGCCCCACTCTCGAGGAGCTCACAGACTAGTGAAGTAATCATGGCAAGCAAAAGAAATATGTTACAAGGGACCCAGAGCTACAACAGGACTGCAGGCTCAGAAAACAAATAGGCACAAGGGCAGCTCCACCAACAGCAGCAACTGCTGCTCCCAGCAACACTGCACACCACTGCTGGGATCCAATCTTAATATCCCTTTGTCTTTTTGAGAGGCAAAGTCTTGGCCAGCAGCCACTGTCAATTGGCCACTCTCAGGTCACATGGATGAGTCCAGCCTGCCAGGGAAAGAAGAGAGGAATGATCTGCCCCTAAGGGTACTCCCCAGATGGGAAGTGGGGGTTGGACGGAGACTGACATTGATCAGGGAAAAACAACTAAATACAGATATGAAAAAAGTACCTTGGGAGCTAAGCTCTTTGTGATTTAAAAACTTGCAAATTTTGACTTGCCAGCTTCTTCTGAACTGAGTATGAATGGAATGCTAGCCAGAGAACTCCAGTTTACAAGGTTCAAAGTTCTCTGACTCCTTAATAACATCTATTTCTGCTTTAAGATCCTCCCCAGCATCTTACTAATACTGTATTTCAGAACTATAGTCCCAGCCCTTAAAATGAGAGCACCAAGGGCCGGGCGCGGTGGCTCAAGCCTGTAATCCCAGCACTTTGGGAGGCGGAGGCGGGCGGATCACGAGGTCAAGAGATCAAGACCATCCTGGTCAACATGGTGAAACCCCGTCTCTACTAAAAATACAAAAAATCAGCTGGGCATGGTGGCGCGTGCCTGTAATCCCAGCTACTCAGGAGGCTGAGGCAAGAGAATTGCCTGAACCCAGGCGGCGGAGGTTGCGGTGAGCCGAGATTGCGCCATTGCACTCCAGCCTGGGTAACAAGAGGGAAACTCCGTCTCAAAAAAAAAAAAAAAAAAAAAATGAGAGCACCAAAATCAAACCCTGTGTTCATACCTATGAAGTATAGGGTAGCACAAAAAGCATCCAACCTACATGGAGAGTTGTCACTCTCCATAGGCATCAATTTTCTTCAATATTCATTTTTTTCACTCAATTATATACTATATATCTACCAACACAGAATTGTCATGTGAGAAAATATACTAAACTACAAAGTTCTATACAAATTAATTTCTTATTTTTTCTCTGATTTCTTTCTTTTTTTTTTTTTTTTTTTTGAGACAGTCTTGCTCTTGTCTCCCAGGTTGGAGTACAATGGCACCATCTCGGCTCACTACAACCTCCTGCTCCTGGGTTCAAGCAATTCTCCTGCCTAAGCCTCCTGAGTAGCTGGAATTGCAGGTGCCCACCACCACACCTGGCTAATTTTTGTATTTTTTAGTAGACACAGGTTTCACCATGTTGGTCAGGCTGGTCTCAAACTCCTGACCTTGTGATCCGCCCATCTCAGCCTCCCAAAGTGCTGGGATTAAAGGCATGAGCTACTGCTGCACCAGGCCAATTTCTGATTTCTTTTTTGGTTTTTTTTTTTTTTGAGACGGAGTTTTGCTCTTGTTACCCAGGCTGGAGTGCAATAGCGCGATCTCAGCTCACCGCAACCTCCGCCTCCTGGGTTCAGGCAATTCTCCTGCCTCAGCCTCCTCAGTAGCTGGGATTACAGGCATGCACCACCATGCCCAGCTAATTTTTTGTATTTTTAGTAGAGACGGGGTTTCACCATGTTGACCAGGATGGTCTCGATCTCTTGACCTTGTGATCCACCGCCACAGCAGGCATCCCCAAACTTTTTACGCAGGGGGTCAGTTCACTGTTCCTCAGACCGTTGGAGGGCCGCCACATACTGTGCTCCTCTGACTGACCACCAATGAAAGAGGTGCCCCTTCCTGAAGTGCGGCGGGGGGCAGGATAAATGGCCTCAGGGGGCCACATGTGGCCCGCGGGCCATAGTTTGGGGACGCCTGCGCCATGGCCTCCCAAAGTGCTGGGATTACAGGCTTGAGCCACCATGTCCGGCCTTTTTTTTTTTTTTTTTGAGATGGAGTCTCACTCTAGCCAAGCTGGAGTGCAGTGGCGGGATCTCAGCTCGCTGCAACCTCCGCCTCCTGGGTTCAAGGGATCCTTCTGCCTCCGCCTCCAGAGTAGCTGGGTACAGGTGTGCACCACCACACCCAGCTAATTTTTGTATTTTTAGTAGAAACAGGATTTCACCACTTAGTAGAGACTTCACTTTGTTGGCCAGGCTGGTCTCAAACTACTGACCTAGTGATCTGCCCACCTCAGGCTCCCAAAGTGCTGGGATTACAAGCGTGAGCCACGATGCTTGGCCTCTGATTTCTTTCTTAATAGATTCAGCATACTCAAAATGTTCCTAGCTAAAGAAAAGCAGAATTAAAGATTCAACATGAGCTAGGATATTCAATTAGGAAACTGATCTTTCTCAACCTCTACCCAGCAAACCTCTACACTCTATCCTTATGCAACTCTAAAGCACTTACAGTGAGTCTGTTAAGGGAAAAGAGGGAAACTGAAACAGAAAAGTAAGCCGCCTAGATCTCTCAGACCCCCTGTACTGAGTATCACCAAACTTGAGCATGTCAGTCCCCAAAAGCAGGAACTGGAGTATGATCTCTGCAGCACCAAGCTGAGTGTGAGAACTCAGGAAGCCGGAAACCACAGTTACAGTAGCATCTGAGAGGTCCAAGACCTCAACAAGGCACCAGAGGCCCAAGGGAAGCCGGTTGTCTTGGCCCTGGGCTGAGGTCTCTCTAGTCTGGGCTTGATGGAAAGTTCCTGAGCTCCCTAGGCCTTAACTGCTCTCCAAGTGAGGGGGAGGATAATTAAGCAGGAATTCCAAATTACTTCCAGCATTTTGCAAGATTAGGAGAAGGGAGGGAGAAGTAGGAAGGAGAGGAAAACATTATGTATTCTTGTCCCAGTCACTAAAAACACTGATAAGGCCCGTGTGGTGGCTCACACTTGTAATCCCAGCACTTTGAGAAGCCAAGGTGAGAGGATCACTTGAGGTCAGGAGTTCAAGACCAGCCTGGCCAACATGGTGAAACCCCATCTCTACTAAAATGCAAAATTTAAGTGGGCGTATGCCTGTAATCCCAGCTACTGGGGAGGCTGAGGCAGGAGAATTCCTTGAACCTGGGAGGTGGATGTTGCAGTGAACCAAGATCACATCACTGCACTTCAGCCTGGGCGACAGAGCAAGACTTCGTCTCAAAAAAAAAAAAAAAGGCCGAGCATGGTTGCTCACTCCTGCAATCTCAGCACCTTGGGAGGCAGAGGTGGACGGATCACCCGAAATCAGGGGTTTGAGACCAGCCTGGCCAACATATCAAAACCCCACCTCTATTAAAAATACAAAATTAGCTGGGCATGGTGGTGCATGCCTATAGTCGCAGCTACTCAGGAGGCCAAGGCAAGAGAATCACTTGAACTTGGGAGGTGGAGGTTGCAGTGAGCCCAAGGTCGTGCCATTACACTCCAACCTAGGCAACAAGAGTGAAAACTCAGTCTCAAAAAAAAAAAAAAAAAGTGATAAAATTCAAGTGGACCACTTCAAGAGCAAGAACTACGTCCTGCTCTTTGGTCCCTTAGGAGCCCCAGTGCCTAGCAGTGTTCCTTGTAACTTAAGCATGCCTAATAAATATTTCTTGTGGGCTAGGCGTGGTGGCTCACGCCTGTAATCCCAGCACTTTGGGAGGCCAAGGCGGGTGGATCACAAGGTCAAGAGATCGAGACCATCCTGGTCAACATGGTGAAAGCCCATCTCCACTAAAAATACAAAAAATTAGCGGGGCATGGTGGCGTGTGCCTGTAATCCCAGCTACTCAGGAGGCTGAGGCAGGAGAATTGCCTGAACCCAGGAGGAGGAGGTTACGGTGAGCCGAGATTGCGCCATTGCACTCCAGCCTGGGCAACAAAAGCAAAACTCCATATCAAAAAAAAAAAAAAAATTTCTTGTGGGTTAAAATTTTTACCAGCCTAGAGATAAATGTAAAGGGGAAGGATTTTAGCCTCAGGGACTAAAAGAATAGAGGCTATAAAGAGGTTAATTAAACAAACAGGCTCTGAATATCCAGGTAATCCACTTCAGTCTCCAAACTTCTTATAATTTAATTTTAAACAATTAATGCTGTCACATGGTTCAAATACCAGAAATTATAGAACAATTTTTTTTTTTTTTTTTTTTTTTTTTTTTTTTTTTTTTTTGAGACGGAGTTTCGCTCTCGTTTCCCAGGCTGGAGTGCAATGGCGCGATCTCGGCTCACCGCAACCTCCGCCTCCCGGGTTCAGGCAATTCTCCTGCCTCAGCCTCCTGAGTAGCTGGGATTACAGGCACGAGCCACCATGCTAAGCTAATTTTTTTGTATTTTTAGTAGAGACGGGGTTTCACCATGTTGACGAGGATGGTCTCAA